ACTTGCTTTGCTTTTGCTGACATCGGACGAATCAAACGTACAAGATACAACTTTAATACGTTTACTTTAAGATGTTCGTCGGTGAATTTGAAAGGACACCCAGTGTTTCGTTTTGCGGTGTTTGAAAATGAAACCAATGTTCACTGTCCTGCGCAAGAGTGGGAGGCGTGGAGCTATTTTAAAAGTCCTTTGGTTAGGTTCTTAGGTTGACCACCATAAAAGTTTTTTACAAAAATATTTTCATTATCACACAAAAAACAAGGATGTAACCTTTAATATGTACATACTGAGTGACTAAATAATAATAGCAGAGTGCTTGACATGCTAAGCTACATCCAAATCTTAATATATTTTTAATTTTTAAATTGATTACCAGCAATAGTTTAAATAATTATAAATGTTACAAATTAGCAATTAGATTCTTCTTAAATACTAATACACTATAAAGATAGGGAATGAAAGTTTGTATGAAACTTTGTCAATTTTAAACCGATCGGGCTGAGACTTTGCATGCAGGTATAAGAAGAATCATAGATGAATGTCATTGTGTATAATACAAGCCTGAGAACAAAAACTGTGTAGTCTACACTTCAGCTCTACACCGAAGCGAAGCGAGGAAGGGCCGCTAGTATTACATAAACATTCATAGATTCTTCCTAGATCTTGCTGATGAACTGAGAGGACTAAAGGACCACATTTAAGGCCTGTGCTTTTTAAAACATCTTTTTATAAATTTCCATAATCGTTCCACAATGAGGGCTATCGCGTATGAATCCGCCGCTAGAGGCGCTAGTGTAGCGTGAGGTCTCCGAAATGTCAAATGTTATTGCTTGTTGGTTGACTACGCGGGTTTATTTCTTATTAAAATAATGTTGGGAATAATTGGTAACAATTCGGCTTAATTATGGCAAATATGAGTTATGTGGCAATGAATGTCAGTTATTAAAAATTTGAGCTTAGAAAAATGATTATGTTTCCATTTTTTCCGAATAAAACGGAACTGCGCGTCTCTGTGGCATGACCTATTATGTTTAGGATATGGTTCTTTTGTGTTAAAATACGATCTAAATGTAACCTTTGATTTTATGTGCGTATTAATAAACTTTAAAAGTTACAATTTAGGACCTCACTCAACAGTGGCGCCATCTGGTGAGGCAGAAAACGGTAGCCCTCATTGTTTTAAGACATCTACTAAATCCTAATAACTTTTTATTTTGAGAAATACGATCAGTTCACACGTACATTCACCCGAGCACTAAATCGCGTCATTACTATACGGCTTAGTGATTTTCCTATACAAAAAAAAAAGATTCCACCATTAAAATGTATACCTTTAAATTGTTAGGTAATAATGAATGGATGTTTATTATGAATATTAATCGGTTGTTTCAATAAATAAATATCGATAGTGTTTAAACACTGACTCATTTGCCCTGTTGATACGGTCGCGTCAACACTTCTAAGATTTTTCTCGAAAAGTGGTTCTGTAGTGCATTTGTGAAAGTGACACTTTATTTCATTTATTTGTTTGATAACATCGTTATCATAGTAATTTTATGATTTATTATAACTTTATATAAGGTGATAAACAAGTAAGGGAAAAAAAAAAGTTAAGATACTAAGGTAGGTTTGTTATTTTCCTTGTTGATGTGTAACATCTTTCTTCGCTTTGTTGCAATATGTGGGAGTTCATCAACTTATGGGAGGGCCTTTTTGGGGCACAGGCCTTCCCTATGGATGGAATAAGGAGATTGTGATTCGTGGGTGCTTATGACTGCAAACGCAGCCGGGACTAGAGATGGGATTTTACCCGGAATAAACCCCAATGTGGGAAAAAATAGGGAAAAGACCCAGGGAAAAATCCCAAATGGGAAAATATTCGGGTTTTTTCATATTTAGCATATGTAACATCGAGGTAATGTGGAGATACATGTATATATCAAATGGTAAGTACTATTACTACAAGTTAGAGCTAATCTAACTTTTTTTAATTTCATAATTCAATAAAATGTTATATATACTCCATGCTATCTAATTAAATAAAATGAAATAAAATAAAAAAACCTGTCTGTTTGTGTGTTCATCCACTCTTAGCGACAAGTCGAAACTACGTACGCTTGGGGGACAGGTAGTAGCAGTGGCGCGTTGGTGATCTATCTTACACGTTATTTTGGCTTCGTACTGTGTGCACTTGTGTTATTATGTTGGTTTAATTGACGAATGGGATTTTGTTTTGTAGACGAAGACGTCTTTTTGTTGATAAATTAAACTGCTGGTTTTATTTTAGTTCCTGAATCAGGCTACACATTTTGACGTTTCGATCAACAGGCAACAGCTAGTGTCCTATAAACGCTGTCGCAAAATATTCGCGCATCGCAAAGTACCAGTGGCGTGGGGTGAAAAAAAAGAAAGGTAAAGCCGGACCAAAAAAAACGACTAACATGTGAATAAGCAAAATATCATATCTTATAGAAATACATGCAATAAATTTTACCTTATTACTTACCTTATAATAACCTTATACCTTTCCCAAAACGACAACGAAATGTTAAGTATGGTGCTTGCGTTGCGTTGTATGCAGTTTCTTCATGCGACAGAACATGCTTGCTGTATAGTTGTTAGTGTTCACCACCTTCACCATACATAACATCACTGGTATTATATGAACAGTCCATGTCGATTATGATAAAAGTGGCGTTCAAAAAACCGTATAAAGCACACGTCACTCATACACAGATTATAAATAAATATATAGAAAAACAAAGAACCAAAATAAGGGAAACTTGCCAGCATCATCATCACAAATAAAAATCAGCAGAAATACCGCTAATTTATTGCTATCTACGTACATACATAGTATCACGTCAGTAAGGGATTTACGGGGTAGAAAGAGCCGTCTTATTTTCGAACGAATGTTTTGAGAATGAAGTTAACTCATTTAATAGGAAATCTGTAAGACAACAATCTATTTGTACTAATGCCACCACTCCTACGTGACGGCAAGAAACAAAAAAAGCAAACAAACCTTTACGGTGAAATAAAACAAACACTATACGCAACACTTGGCAAGTAAAATTTCACTCCTTTCGATTCTGTTAAACAACATATTATTATATACCACAATCAAGCTAATCACTTATCACAATAGATAAATTAGCATTCGAATCCGTCCATGCGAATGCGCGCGAAATAATGGCCTCACTGCGTCAGGTCAACAGAGCCGAGCGCCAGGTGTCTACGATTGGCCGAAAACTTCAAGCTAAACGGAGCCTTAACACATGGCAAATAAAGATTGCAGGCTATCTAAGATCGGGTTATATCGCTGTCATATCGACGATTAGTTGCATGTGGTAGTAATGTGTATTTGTGCGTGAAGTGCTTACATTTTATTTATTTGTAGTCCCAATATGATAAGCGGCTTATCCAGCCTACTACGGCGCGGATCTGTGTGCGTATGCACGATATCAAATGCATTGGGTATTTTCTATCCAGCATAATAAAGAATATTTTTTACAAAGCGCGCAATGTAATTATGTGGCTTGCATTAACGTATACGTCAATGTTCGGTTGTGCTTGAATGTAAATATATTAGAGTCTGGCAAGGTAAGCCGGCAGGAATCGTGTTCTAAGGAGGCTTCGCCACTGCAAAGTACCTATTTTTCGCTACATTTAAATATAAAAAAATAAAAAAATTCAGATCGTGATAATTATGTTAAATAATGAAAATACCCGTCTATTGGGTTTTTTCCCACATAAATACCCGGTTTTTTCCCAAATGGGAAAAAACCCAGGTTTTTTCCCACTGCCCATCTCTAATTATGAATATTAATCGGTTGTTTCAATAAATAAATATCGATAGTGTTTAAACACTGACTCATTTGCCCAGTTGATACGGTCGCGTCAACACTTCTTAGATTTTTCTGGAAAAGTGGTTCTGCAGTGCATTTGTGAAAGTGACACTTTATTATATTTATTTGTTTGATAACATCGTTATTATAGTAATTTTATGATTTATTATAACTTTATATAAGGTGATAAACAAGTAAGGGACAAAAAAAGTTAAGATACTAAGGTAGGTTTGTTATTTTCCTTGTTGATGTGTAACATCTTTCTTCGCTTTGTTGCAATTTGTGGGAGTGCATCAGCCTTTGGAAGGGCCTTTTTGGGGCACAGGCCTTCCCTATGGATGGAATATGGAGATTGTGCCGTGACCCACCACGCGGGCCTACTGCGGATTCTTGGGTGCTAACGACTGCAAACGCAGCCGGGACCAACGGCTTAACAAGCCTTCCGAAGCACGGAGGAGCTACAGATAATATACACTTTTGGTTACCTATCCATTGACCGACCATTCATGCGAAAGTCTCTTAACTTCCACTATCGTAGGCTAAACACGCTGACTACTTGCGCCATCAAGCAGGGTTCCCAACTTAGGGGTTTTGCCCCCAGATTTAGGGGCTAGAAGGGTTAAAACGGATTTTTTTAGGGGCTGGAATTTTTTGGGGGTTCTTTTAGGGGCTTTTAACAAAACTTTCAATTAAATCTAAAAACAAAGCGTGTGTTTTCTTTCAGTTTTGTGCGTAGAATGGAACGCACCACGATATGAACCGACTGAACTCACTGTGTGGCAGGTTGTTTCCTAAGGCTGTATGGACTAAAGTTCTTTGCCTTCCACCGATCAAAACAGCTAAATAAGATTTAACAGCCTGACAGCTCATTTTCGTTTGATTTTCCATTCGGAAAATGTATTTATTCAATAAAATAATTTACTGTAACTAAATATGTAACGTTTTAATTTATGAGCAACGAAAGAATTTAGGTAAAAAGATAAGTAGGTACATATAAATTTCTATATTTAGGGGATTTTAGGGGAATTTAAAAAATACTTAGAGTAAAATTTTGGTAAGGGTTCATAACACTGCCATCAAGCTTTGTGGATGTGGTTTTGTGAAATGGGACGAAAGTGTGGAAAGGAAGACGGAGAAGCGCCCGCTATTTCGAGGGCCGTGGTAGCATAATGGTCAGTGCATTCGCTTGGACAGCGAAAGGTGCGGGTTCAATTCCTATCTGCAGAGTGGTCCGCGTGGTTTTTTTTCTAGTAATTTTTGAAGTGAAAACTTCGTTAGCGGCGTTGTACACTTTTTTCTGTATGGGTTAAAAATGTTTCTTTTTAGGACGTCCACGTGGCAGCTTTATTGCGAAGATAATGCATTTTTTTTACAATAGATGTCGCTAGGTGCGATTAAATGTGGTTCATGTAAGTTGATTTTTCTGAGAGATAAACTTTTTTAAATGTAATATAAATTATCATGTTTGTGTACGATAGCGCAATAAATAAATATTGTATTCTACCACATAGATGATAGTATTTTTATACTGATAATTAAAGCAATTCGTGCAAAATTATTCCTTAACCATTCCAAAATAACAAAAATGCACAACGTTAATATTCAAGTTTTCACTTCTGCCGGCACTCCCGGAGTGCAACCCGTCGTTTTTTTTATACTTTATTTGAACATCGAACAGTGAAATGCTTTAAAAACAATAAATTTAAAAAGTATGTAATTTAACCTTATTGTCGTTGTATTGTCCTCTCCACAGATGTGCTCTGTTGAAGAGTTGGCGTTGCATCTTTTTGACGCCGGAGCGGTGAGGCTGGGCGATATTGAAGCCAAGCAGGGACGCAGGACACCAGTGTACTTCGACCTCAGGGTAGTGGTGTCGCATCCCACTGTCATGGTATGTACCACGATAGTTGTGACGACCTCCGTGGTCGAGTGGTTTGTACGCCGAGTTTCAAGGTGTCGCCGACTCGAGAGGTTGGAATCCCGATTGGGGCAGATGTTTATGTGATGAATAAGAGCATTTGTACTCCAGTCATGGATGTTTAATATGTATTTCTATAAATATACTAGGATTATGGTATCATAACACCAGCCTACAATGCTTACTTTGGGGCTAGGCTAATTGGTGTGAGTGTTGGAAATATTTATTTATTTACAGTCAAAATAGAGAGAATATGTTTAAGAAGGTAGGTATAGTAAATTTTCTGAGTGTCAAAATCACTCCTTTACTTTACGATTTCTTTCTACACGGGTTTAGGCAAGGTTTTATAGCGTATCTACGTCCGTTCGTCAATTAGGTATGGGACATCATGGAGGTTTGTTGACAACGGCGCTAGCGACGATTTGGGGTCGTTACAAACATACGAACCGTACTCGTGAACAAGCTTAGGCGTCACCGGCCTGGGTAGAATTTATCGTCTCGTTATCAAAAAAAACGATCGAGCCTTACAGTAGTCGCGTATGATGTGTAACATTGGAAACCTCACCTTATATTAATAAAAAAACAAATAAAACCTACTACAAAAGGAATAAGCCATTTGAACATTATTTTCTAAAATCAAATCGAATAGCTCGCGCTTTCACGACTTCCTGTTACACACTTCCGTCCTATTCCACGAAATCACTCCCACAAATTGCAGGAAAGCGAGAGGTAAGATGTTACACAACAAATAAAATAAAAGTAATTTATTCAGTCTATGCTGTTACAAGCACTTGTGAATGTCGAGAAGCTTCGCCATCGGTTCGCAAAACTACGGCGGGAGACCTTTTACTGAGAAGAACCGGCAAGAAACTCACCAAGGGCTATTTTTTCCTCCCTTTACTATTATACTAGCTGTGCCCCGCGTCATTACCCGCGGTTTTTTAGGGGTATTTTGAATAAAATGTAGCCTATGTGTTAGTCCAGGGTGTCAGCTAATTCCATACAAAATTTTATTAAAATCACTTCAGCCGTTTCATCATCAGCCTATTATTGTCTCCACTGCTGGGGCACAGCCCTTCCCTATGGATGGAATAGGAAGATTGGTCCATGACCCACCACGCGGGCCCAGTGCGGATTGGCGGGTGCTAACGACTGCGGATGCAACCGGGACCAACGGCTTAGCTTGCCTTCCGAAGCACGTAGGAACTCAAGATATAAGATTTTTTGTCACCCATCCAATGACCGACCACTGCGAAAGTTGCTTAACTTCAACGATCGCAGCCGAACGCGCTAACCACTTGCGCCATCGAGCTCCTCAGCCGTTTCGACGTGAAGAAGTAACAAACACACACACATACTTTCGCCTTTATAATATAAGTGTGATAAAAATATGACTTCAGAGATAATTCTGAAGTCACCTTCCATTACATCATTAAGGATAAACATATATCTAATAAGTTTTATATTGAGATTTACATTTTTATTAGGTACCCATATATATAGGAAGCGGCTTTTTTTTCTTATTTATTTATTTATGATCAGGCTACATAGGCCCATAGATAAATACCTTATCGTCTAACATATATACAGATATAAAACATTATTGTTAGTAAATAAAATTAGTAACTATGTTAGTAAACACCTAATGAGGGCGTATGAATCCGCCGCTAGAGGCGCTAATGTAGCGTGAGGTCTCCGAAATGTCAAATGTTATTGCTTGTTGGTTGACTACGCGGGTTTATTTCTAATTAAAATAATGTTGTGATGTGAATAATTGGTAACAATTCGGCTTAATTATGGCAAATATGAGTTATGTGGCAATGAATGTCAGTTATTAAAAATTTGAGCTCAGAAAAATGATTATGTTCCCATTTTTTCCGAATAAAAAGGAACTGGGCGTCACTGTGGCATGGCCTATTATGTTTAGGATATGGTTCTTTTGTGTTAAAATACGATCTAAATGTAACCTTTGATTTCATGTGCGTATTAATAAACTTTAAAAGTTACAATTTAGGACCTCACTCAACAGTGGCGCCATCTGGTGAGGCAGAAAACGGTAGCCCTCATTATCACGTATAGACGGCGACGTGTGACGCGAAGTGTAATGGGTAATGTTTTTATTACGTAAGAAAAGGGTGGATGACTTGCATAATACCACCGGCAATCATAGCCATACCGAAGCTTGAGTAACACTCTTGTGTAGCTTATCCTGAATCCATCCATCGCAAACCCTTATCTCGTGGTGCACTGGAACCTTACTAGCCGACGGAAATGGAACTCTGAACTCTGTCAGCCTCTGAGAATTCCTTGGTTTGTCAATTTGAAATGCAGCAGAAGGTTCATTGTAACAGCTTTAAGACTTCGTACTGGACATTATCCATCCAGGATGGAAATATGGTTTCCTCATGAAAAAATTAGACTCTCCTAATTGTCAAATTTGTGGTACAGTCGATGACGTTCAGCACATGCTTGTAGAGTGTACTAAGTATAACAATAAGACAATGTCATTATTGCAAAAACATAATATAAACGTGTTCGGTGTAGGTATATTCGCAACAATATTGGCAGATTCGCAGTCGGAAATATTCAAAAGCCTTATACCGGCAATACACACTACGAGAAATCGTTACGATTAGACTGTACAGTCCGAACGGTACCGAGAAATCGTAGCGTGTATGTTATAAAACTGCACAGTTTCCTATACTAAACGATATCGTATAAACTATTCCGTTCGAACTGTACAGTCAGATCGTAACGATTTCTCGTAGTGTGTATGGCCGGTATTATGGTAGCCATACACACTACGAGAAATCGTTACGATCAGACCGTACAGTTCGAACGGAACAGTTTATCGTACGTGGCGTACTTATAGTGCTGTGCAGTTTTATAACATACACGCTACGATTTATCAGTACCGTTCGAACTGTACAGTCTGATCGTAACGATTTCTCATAGTGTGTATGGCTACCATTATATATATATATATATATATATATATATATATATATATATATATATATATATTTTTTGCAACAATGAGTCGTCGGAGTTTTATATTAATTTTGTAATTTATAATGTTAGGATATGATGGGGCTGGCATATCTTTATAAGGTAAAAGCCTCTAAATAAAGAAGATTATAAAAAAAATGGAACTCTAGCAGAAGGTGTTAGAGTTTTAATCGACTTCAAAATGAGGAAGATTCTCGATTCGGCCGGTAAGCTGGTTTTAAGGATATGAGCTTATGTGAGTTTGAAATCGGGTTAGAGGAGCTCGATGGCGCGGCTGGCTGATCGTTGAAGTTAAGCAACTTTCGCAGTGGTCGGTTATTAGATGGGTAATCAAAAATCTTCTATGTCGTGTTCCTCCGGGCTTCGGAAGGCACGTTATGCCGTTGGTCCCGGCTGCCTGCAGTCGTTAGCACCAACCAATCCGCACTGGGCCCGCGTGGTGAGTCATGGCCCAATCTCCCTATCCCATCCATAGGGAAGGTCTGTGCCCCAGCAGTGGGGACATTAATAGGCTGATGATGATGAGTCAAAAAGCTAAATGGCTGAAAGTTCCGATCGTACGTAAGGAATTTATCTGCATCAACAAGCATTATTGCCTTAAACATATGTCATGGTGTTTATGAAAAATTGTGAAGGTCAAGGCGATGTGAAAAAGTGAGATTCCTACTTTTACTAGATCGGGAATCGAACCAGTGAGCCTTAGAAATGTAAACACTCTTTTCACGCACATAGGCAACATACAGATGTCGCATTTACAGTGAAAAAAACCTTTTCTGTTCATTTAATTTTCATTTATAGATACTTAATATCTTAAAATTCACTTCCTTGCATTTCAGCTGGCAACAGTTAAACATTTACAAAAGATGGCTTCCGAAATAAACCACGACATTCTGTGTGGGGTGCCGTATGCCGCCATGCCGCTCGCAGCCGTCATGTCTGTCAACGCCAACACTCCAATGGTCATGAAAAGAAAAGAAGCAAAAAATTACGCAACTAAAAAACTACTCGAAGGAGTGTTTCAGAAAAATCAAAACTGTCTCGTTATAGAAGACGTAGTGACATCTGGCGGTAGCTTACTAGAAACTGTGGATGCTTTGCGTGCCGAAGGTTTGGTCGTCACACACGCCCTAGTAGTTCTCGATAGGGAACAAGGTGGCGCTAGTGTACTAAAAGCAAATGGCGTCGAAGTTAAGGCTTTGTTCACAATGACGAATTTGATTAAGTTACTAAGAGATGCCGGCAAAATTACAAATAATACAGTTGAAATAATTTCAGACCATATAAGAATATGCCAATTTGGTAGTATTGGTTAAATCTCTATTTTAAATTTATATACTCAAATTTTTTGTATTGTTTCTGCAATTTACTATTGTTTTAAGAATTAACAATTTCTTTAAGCACGGCGAACATCGGATAATATCCTACCGCCACATTTATTTTTGTGAATATTTTCGAAATTCCTGCATAACTTGTATGGACTATTTATGCGAAATGTCATTAAATAAAAAATCAGTGCATCTTACCCGTTGAAACTTGTTTTATTTAATGAGTGATGTGCGTGAAAACCTAATAAACAAAAATGTGATAATTTTTGTTCGAGGAGGGCGTCTTAGAAAGGGGGGGGGGGCTCTAAAAGCTCAACTATTTGCTTGAGAAACCTGAAAAAAATCATGATTATAGTGAACTCTTCATGAACTTTTGAAGAAAACTATACCGGTTAAGATAGATTTGTTAGTTTAAGAGTAATAGTCGTTCAACCTTGATTAAATGAACATTTCTTACCTACTGAAAATTCCTTAGAAGAAAACATTAATAGTGACATGGATGATGTTATTGTAGCTTAAAACCTTGCATTGCAACAAAATCTAAAAAAAACTATTAAAAACCACAATAAAAATAACATTAATTCCACAACGCTACCGCGAGTACCAACTACAACGGCTTCCTAGGGGGCGTCCTTATATTACGTGAGATGTTTAAGGGGGGGAGGCGGTCGAGTCAAATCTCATCTAATCTTAGGCCGTACACAGAAAGAAAGCCGAAAGCCGATCGGCGCTGATCCTTTTTCTATGGACCGGCGCCGATAAGCGCCGACACGCGCTGATCCGAATAATAAATAATTTGTATTTGAATTATTATCCTTAGATTAAATCAATCTAAGTTATAATCTTTTTATAAATCTAATAACTTTATCTTTTATTAACTAAGCGCTAAAATTATTTGTTTCGTACTTACCGAATGGTGACAACAAGTCTTTCTTCTGGAAGGATTGGTTGTTTATGCCAATTGCACCAATTTTTCATCAAACGGTTTTTCACTAAATCCAAAATGTAATAAAATGTTTCTTGAATCATTCTTGTATATGTATAAAATCTTTGTTCATCAAATTTCATTTTTTTTACAAATAAATGATGGTATTCTCCGAAACGTTTCCTTTCTCTATTTATAGGATGTATAGCTATTTTTCGCATTTTTAAATACACATTTTCTAACAAAACCAGATCATCGTCCGATGAGTCCGACATTTTGCTTGATCTGCTTTAATCGGCTTCCTTTATGTAGGATCGGCTTTCGGCTTTCTTTCTGTATACGGCCTTACGCTGGAGAGAGCGGGGGTCTCGGCAAACATCACGCATTTTTTTCTGATCTGACCAAAAAATATATACTATTTTGGCCCATTTAATCCAGATTGTACATGCTTAAGATTTAATCTCAAGCGTAATCGTAATACGATTAAGATCATTTGCTAATTCGTTCGTAAGAAATAATTCTCAGCAATATTGATTAGGTACTAGTCTTCACAAGTCGTAAATAAAAGCAATAAGCAATTTTTTTCTTTTCTTTTTACAATAACAATCCAACGCATTTAAGAAACCCACATTTTGAAAAATCTCACGTGAGATTGGGCGATGGGGGAGGGGGTTGCATAAAAACTCACGACATCTCACCAGCGGGGGAGGGAGGGACAGGAAATTCCAAAAAAACCTCACGTAATTTATGGACGCCCCCCTAGTCGCGCTAACGTTACGTTTTTATAAAAAGTATATAATATAAGCACTTGAAAAGATCGGCGGTTATACCGCATCATTCCCTTCTCAGGGGATAATCGCTAAAGATGAAGCTTTTAGTCAGTAACCTCGTTATTAATAAACGAGGAATAACTTTAGACTAGTTACACCGTGTTTTGTTCATATCACTCAAATGCCATTTGTCATGCAATGAACAGAGAAAAAACATGGAGTAACTAATCCAAGCTTATTCTTTGTTTATTAATAAAGGGGTATGAGTCTAAGGCCGTATACAGAAAGAAAGCCGAAAGCCGATCAGCGCCGATCGGCGCTTATCGGCGCCTATAGGCGCTGATCCTTTTTCTATGGACCGGCGCCGATAAGCGCCGACTCGCGCTGGTCCGAATAATAAATAATTTGTATTTGAATTATTTTCCTTAGATTAAATCAATCTAAGTTATAATCTTTTTATAAATCTAATAACTTTATCTTTTATTAACTAAGCGCTAAAATTATTTGTTTCGTACTTATCGAATGGTGACAACACGTCTTTCTTCTGGAAGGATTGGTTGTTTATGCCAATTGCCCCAATTTTTCATCAAACAGTTTTTCACTAAATCCAAAATGTGTAATGTAGGAAGGATCGGCGCCGATCGGCTTTCGGCTTTCTTTCTGTATACGGCCTAACACAACCTTGCAGCCGGCTGTAGGGTATCCATGAGGAATTCACACCCGCTAACGGAATGGGAGGAAACAGCGGTTCACATTCGTATTTTTTTAAAAGAAAAATAATTCAATATCGAATTGATTATGAGTTTGAGACGCAGTTTGACTTTGATTCAGGTATTTTAGTTGAGATACAAAGATTGATATAATCTATCAATCTATGTATATATTAATTATAAAAAACCTATGTATATAAAAAACCAATATATTATATTGGTTTTTCAAATTTCCGATATAGGAAATAAGACTCCTGCTCAAATATATTGTGGCAACTACGGAATCCTACACTGCGCGTAGCACGACCACAAAAAGAGCTTGATAGAAAGAATTTTTGCGTAAAACGGAACAACAGTATGTCATAATATGTCGTCGCCCTTAGCTCATTCGTGCAACATTGTCGCGGCTTTAAACAATGGTTTTTCCCATTGTGGACAAGAACTGCAGATTTTTAGAAGTCCCAAATTATTAAGTTGCTAGAAGCAACGATAAATATATTTTTAAGCTTACGAATAAAGTGGAATAAAAAGTACTTTATTTTGGACACAAGTACTTTTTTTCTACCTTTAATATCCCAATGTACTTTATTTGGATATAAAAAAGGCAGAACTGCAGTTCAGTTTTTTTAGAATTGTAGTCACTGATTTTATTATTACCTACTGTTAATGTCTGAATTTATTAGTATGGCAAATTTTGATGCAAATAAATAAATAACCTATCTAAATATTCTTTCAATCCCCCATAAAAATGTATAATCAGATACCTACCTAGTTGGTACTGATGTCAAAGGTTCAGAGAAATAAACAATTCCAGCCTAAGGTCGTGTTGTAATAGTTCTAAAATACTTCACTTCCTTGAATGTTATAGCTATGCAGGTATTATTGAAATCGCTGACGTTCAGACTTTATGAAATATTCACTACCTACAAGCAGTCTCTTGTTAGAATTGGTATCCAGTAGGTTGCCTACGAATGGCCTCATTGGCATCGGCTGTCGGAAAAACACGAGACGTAATTATTTTTCCGAAAAAAAAAATACTCGTCGTCGTTGTTTGGCTCCACCCTTATGATCTTCTATTCATACTAGCGCCGAATCGAATAAGGGAAATTCAGCAACATAACCAAGCATATTCACCATTATCACCGCAACGTAATGTACCTATATATTCCTTCAGATAAAAAGAAGACGCGCGAAATTACTATTATCAGCTCAGAAAGAATATGTGCATTACGTTGCGGAGATGAGGGTGAATTAACTAGATATGTAACTAAATAGGTAAGTGTTTCAGAAATTATTTCAGATTAGCTAGCGCTAGTGTAATTGTAGGGCAGATTCGAGCGACCGACGCGACGCGGTGAAAACACTAGTATTTTACGTATAAACGTAACTTTTAATAATAAAGCGCTTGTCGAGTTGCTGCCATTAAATAAATGTGTGTAGTAATATTCATCTGTCCATAGGTAGGTACTTTTAACGTTGTTTTGTAATAGTAGTCATCCCGTCGATTTCCAGAAACTTCACAAGCGGAGTTATCCATTTAAGAAACAATGTCAAAATCATTGGTGCATAAGAAAAAATGTTTCAAAGTTACTGCTTTTTCTTATTCGATTTGATACAAGATTGTGCAATCGATTGGATGTAAAAGACTTTAATCTTGCATATTGAAATAGTATGATTGCCTTTGAATTGCCTGACCACTTGTGACTTAACAATTGAAACAATTTTTCTATCAAAATTAATTAATTTCAACTAGCAGGTACTTCAGAAATTATACATATTTAATTTTGTTTTTTATACCTCTAGAATGAATGTTAACACTACACTATTGCTTAGGATAGAGCCAGATGTCAGTCAAGCAGGGTGAAACATTTGTAAAATTAAACAAAAGGAATAAAATCATTGTAATTTTATTAATCACCAGCTAGATAATAATAATTAAAAACTTTGATCGACTTCGAAAATTGTACGTTATTAGCTTTTTTAGTTCACAAAAAGCCAATGTAAACTTATCACACTGGTTATATTAAAAATTAAACTTAGGTATTACAAAATCAAGTTCAGCCTTATAAAAAAAGATCATTTCCTTTTTGTGTAGTCAGTGTTCGCAGCACCGATGTGTCGGGCGAAGGGCCCACGTCGATTAGGGATCTGTTTACTGTATAAACACCCGAGAGCCGGCCTTCGGCAAGGAAAACACGGGGGAATGTGAACGTAACTTCATGTTACCGCAACATCAACGTGTACTCCCTATTAAAAAAATCCTAATCGTTTCCAGAACTTTAAGTTACATACAAAAATACTAAGCAAAGAAATGCGAGCGTCAGGAGACGCAGGGAGGGGTTGTACGACGGTACGAGTATGACGGGGAATGCGGCTGTTTAGTTGTCCTCGATCTCCTGCTCCTGCTCCTCATCGAACTCTGCGTCCTCGTCGGCGGTGGCCTCCTGGTACTGCTGGTACTCGGACACCAGGTCGTTCATGTTGCTCTCCGCCTCGGTGAACTCCATCTCGTCCATGCCCTCGCCGGTGTACCAATGCAAGAAAGCCTTGCGCCTGAACATAGCCGTGAACTGCTCCGAGATGCGCTTGAACAGCTCCTGGA